GGCTGACCTCGGGCACGGCGCGCACCTCCTCGGGGCCGCGAGCCCCGTGCCGTGGGACGTGCGTTCCATGACCGGGGTGTCCAGGCGGAGCCTCTCCTCTCCTCCAGCCCCGTCACTGGGCTCCCTGCTCCACGGAGCCCGGCTCCTGGCGCTGCCTCCTCTGCTGCCGCTCCCGCTTGGCCCTCCAGCACACGTAGGCGGCCACCAGCAGTCCCACCCCGAAGATCAGCGTGGCCACCGAGACCACCTTGGCGATGTCCATCTGCGGGCCGTTGATGGTGAAGGTGATGCACGTCGCCGCCACGCCGATGACCACCGAGACGATGCCGAAGGGGAAGATGCAGCGGTACCAGGACTTCTCCGTCCCGCCCGTGGCCAGCGCCAGCTTGTTGAGCGTGGCCGTGGAGTCGGTGGCCGCGGCCAGCGGCAGCCCCGCTTTCCCCCCCTGCAGGCAAGTGAGCGAGTTGGACTTGCAGCCCATCATGTTGGCGAGAGCGGTCGCTGGGAAAGCGCTCGGAGCCGCCGTGCCCGCGGCAGGCCGGGCCCTACATGGCAGCGCGGCGACTCGCGGTGCCGCACAGCCGGCTGCGCTCGGGGCCGCCGCTCTGGCTGCCGGCTTTGGCTCCCGGCTCTTTTGCTGCCGGAGGGAGCGGGGATTGGCGGCGGCGGTGCTGAGCTCACGGCGGTGGGAGGACCGCGCGGGCGCCGCTGTTAACCGTTTCGGGCGCTCGAGGCTGCCCGCAGCCCGGCACCGCTCCTCGGCTGCTCCCCATCGGCACTGCCCTGCAACGCCCGGCCCGTGAGCACCGCTCCCCGCAGCGATCCGCCCGCCCACGAGCGCTCTGGGCGCTGCTGCCATCCCTTTCCAAGCAGCCCTGTCTCTCACGTCAGCCCGGCTTTCTCTCTGCCAGCTGTGTCCCCAGGCACGGGGCTGCGGATGCAGGGGGATGGGAGAGGGCTGGAGGCTGGGACTGTGAAGGGTGGGGGTACCCCAACACACCGTACTGGTGGGACCCCAATCCATCCTGGTGATGAGACCGAGCACGTCTGCATGGTGGGACCGCAGCACACCTGGAGATGGGAACCTAACGCAGCTGGGTGGGGACTGGCCAGGGGGTGGGACCGAAGGGGCAGGAGAAGGATTTGGGGGGTGATTGGGGTGGGGTTAGGGGCATTAGGGCACAGGCAGAGATGCAGAGAGGGCAGCACATGTGGGAAGGGACCAGCACGCTGTCGAGGATTCAAGACCAGCACTGTTCCGGCCCTTGGGGCTCTCTATTATAGCATCCTGCTCCTCTCTGTGGGACCCAATAACTGAACAAAGGCAAATGGTTTTTTTTAAAGAGGAAGGAGCACTTCCACCTCCTCTCATTTCTTTTGCACATTTTTTTCTTTTAATTGGTTTTCCTGAAGGAGAAAGGGGAGGAATTAGCTGCTGCAGCAAAAGTAAGAAGCCTGGAGCCATTCCCAGGTCAGAGCTTCCCCCAGCATGTGGGGCCCAGCTGCCTCTGCACCAGGAAGCAGGAGGCCAGGGAGAAGCCAAAAGCAAGAAGATCCATATTGCAACAGGAATGGACAGAGAGAGAGCTGTGCAGATACCCCTGTGATGGGGGCTGGAACCAGGGGATCCATCAGGTCCCTTCCACCCAGCCGTGCTGTGACCCTGCTCAGGGCGGGGAGGTGAAGGGCAGGAGGTGCATCAGGGGCTCCGTCCCTGCGCGGTGCCAAACCCCATGCCACCCTGTTGCACTGAGGCAGCAGCTTAGGAGCAGCCTGCTCTGCTTTCCCTGCAGCGTGGGGACACAGCCACCTCCCTGCTGTGAGCCATGTTTGGGTATGGGCTCTTTTTGTTCACAGTGAACTCCCCCAGCATCCCATTCTGGTGCAGCCTCCCAGGGAGGACGGACTCCTCTGCTTGCATCAGCAGCTCCTTCTGCCACGAACTAAGGGTGTAATTTTTGTTACAGAAATAGAGACTTGTGTGTGCCCCCTCCTGCTTCCTACAGAAGGAGAGAAAAGCGCAGCTGGGACCGGTGAGTCACGCTGCAGGAGCCCAATGGAAGGCAACCAGCATGCACCCATTCCTAGGATGGAAACAGAAGAGAGAAGGGATGAACCCAGGCTCCAAGCAAGAGTGATGAGCCCCATTAAAGGAAGCCTGGAGCCAAGCAGAGTGCTGACCCCCACTGGATCAGCCCACGGGGGAGATGAACTTCTGCTTTTCACAGCAGATCCCAGAGAGCCAAAATAATTTGGAGTTCACAAGGAAATACCAAAAGAACACAGGGCCAGGATGCAGGCACCCACACAGCTCCGCTCAGCGCAGCCCACTGCCTTCGCACACGCTGGCGGTGACCCCAACCCCAATGCCTACATGTGGGAGCTAAAACAGCCGTGTAGAAGAAAGGGTTTGTAGGTGTAGGAATTATGCCTTGTTTTTCCTAAAACTGGAAGGCAGTGGGTCTGAAAACAAGCACAGAGCACCACCTTAGGGCAGAGGTAGCCATGGATAACGCTGTGCTCAATGCTCAACCCACATCTCATTTTTGGGATGTGCAGTGCAGTGCCTTGAGGTGTGATGTGCAGGAACGGTGCTGCCCACAGCCCCACACTGGGGACATGAATACAGACCAAAGCCACGCAGCAGTGCAGCACGGCACACACAGGGGCTGCACAAACACAGGAGCTTATGAGAACCACGGCACCCCTACAAGGTTTTGGTTTCCCGCAGGAAATCAGCATTGCATTTGGCAGCCAGGGAATGGTTAATGCATTGCTTAAGACTACAGCAAGAAAGAGTGAAGAACTATTTAGAACCATTGCCACAGAGGGCCCCAATCACAGCTGCAGCATCAGCAGTTGTGCTGTCTCTGGTGCCTCAGGATGGCAGAAGGCACTGTGCTGTGGAGTGGGAAACTGCATTGGCAGAGGCAACATGAAGCCTGAGGAGTATTTTCAGGTCTGTGATTGAGCAGCTACCATCCCAGTGTCCTCACAGTGTGTGCTGTCCCTGTGCTGGGTGCTCTGGGGGCTCCCTGTCCCACGAAGGCACTGAGAGCTGCAGATCCCCATCACCCTGCATAGACACAATGCCCGACAGACTCACCTTAATTAAGCAGCAATCGATTTTTCTCAGTTGCAATGTGCAAAAAGAAAGTCCTCAGCAATGAAAAATGAGAGGACAGATCTTCCTTGGCACTTTTGATGTCACAGAAATAGAATTTCATCGGCACGGTGCAGAACAGAAACTCCAATGCCTGTAGGGTGGATTGCTTTGGAGTCAGATGGAGTCATGCTTAGGGGATCTGCTTTGTAGGGTTCTGCTTTGTGGGGTCCCACTGAGGCACAGGAGGACTGGTAAGTTCCCAGTGAAACACAGCACTGGCTGCACTGACTCACAGCAAACAGCCAATTCGGGTGGTGCCATCCATCACCTTCAGGAGACACTGAGTATTTCCTGTATTTTTTCTAACACCATCCCTGGCATCACAAATACAATCTCTCATCTCATCTCTTCTCCCCACCTCAGTCTGAAGCACCAGCATCATTTCCTCCTGTAACAACAGTGCGTTTCTGACACAACAATCCCTCCCCCCTCTGACTGACATCTGTATGGAGGAAACCCTGCCAGGCGTGGAGATAAAACACATCCAGACTCCAAGAATTGATGTTCCTGGGCAGCTGCTGTTACACATGGCAGAGCTGCCCCAGCTGAACGCTCCACGGGAACCAAAACATAAAGAACCGAATGCAATGCAATGAAGAAATTGAAGTGGTGGTAAAAAGCTGACGTTCATCCAGCATTGGGGTGGGTTTGGGCAGATTCTGAAGGTCAGAAAGAGCCAAACTTTTGGAAGTCAGACCACCTTAACTCCAGCCCTAAAAAAAAAACACAGAAGGAAATAATAATGACCAGCGTCAGCATCTCCAAGGGCTAAACTCCTCCAAACAGGAGTTTGGTCCAGCTGCAAGGTATGATGCAAGCCCAGCTGTAACAAGAAGTAGAAATGCTGCATCAGTATTCAGTGGCCCTTTGCTAAATGGACTTCAAAATGCTTGCAAGCCAGAAATATGCCATGTGATTCCACAGCAGTTGCCACACAGCAGTGCAAGGGGTTTAAGTGAAGACTGAAGGCGCAGGAAGAACTGAAGCAGGGGTTCCTGTGGTGGCAAGGTCAGGATTGCTACAGAACTTGTATTTTCCATAGCTGCGCAGGGCACTGCGTTGTCACTCTGAAAGACTGCTTCTACAGCAGCTGCCAGCACAGGTTCAGCAGCAATGCAAAGGGCTGAGTGCCATCTACCGGGCTGCTCCATCACTCCGTCCTGCTGCAGCTGCACCCCACTGAGCGCACACAGCCCTGCCCTTCTCAGGCTCAGGCACCATCCCCTGATAAGACGATCCAGCAGAAGCGTGTCAGCTGTAGGTTATTGGTGTAAGTCATTACAGAAGAGCATGGCAAGTCACGAAGCTGCCTGATGGAGCCGTGATCCGAGCAGCAAGGCGACCCACAGGCTGAAGGAGCAGCTCTCCAGCTGCAGTGGTGCAGGCAGCAGCACAGCTCAGAGCAATGTTTGCAAACCAGAGCGGTTCCCAAAGAGGCATTGCTGCATGCAGCCTGGGTGGCTGTGGATGAAGACATCAAAAAAAAATGTCCAGTCAGTATTACTGTAACGATGGCTATATGCCAATTTATGGACAAAGTTATATGGCAATAGTGGCTCATTTGTCCCTGGATTTTCTCAGCCTGGAAAGCTGTGTCCCAGCACGCTGTGAACAGTGTAAATCACGTGTTAGGGACAGCTGTGTTATCTGAACACAAGGCTGGTGTCATGGCTGAAGTGGACAAGAATCCGGAGCAGACAGACCTTGGGAGAACACCCACCAGCAGTGTCCATGAAGAGGCTTCACAGACCTTCATAATCAGCAAGTCATAAAAAAACCAATGAGGAACAAGCAAAAGCCCAGAAAACTGGTTTCCTTTAGACAGACAAACAGGTAAAGTAATCAGAAAGGATTTATTGCTTAAAGCCATGGCTGTTGATGTGAATGGCCATAGGGAGGCTCTCACCAGCTCAGTCTGCCAGCTCATCTCGCACCAGCACAGGGAAGCGGCCGCCTCCCTCGCAGAGCTGTGTGTACATCGCCCGGTACAGCTGAGCTGCAGAGGGCCCTGAGAAGGGCCTGGAGTCCAGGACAGGCAGCAGTTCTGTCATGGTGAGCTGCAGGAGTAAAGGAGACACGTCACTGGAGTGAAGACAGGGTGCTCCTCTGGGAATCCTAGAACTGAAGTGGCTGCGTAACAAATGCGATCTAACAAGAGCTCTGTGAGTAACAACGTGCTAACTGGCAGCTGAAAGCCCTCCTTTGTCAGCTTTCAGGATGGCAGGGTTGCTCATCCCTTGCTCGTGAAGCACGCCAGCAGCCATGCAGTGCTCTGAGCAGCGAGATGATGGGCAGTGCTCCTGTGCTGCAGGGATGCGCTGAGCTCATCCTTGTGAGAAGCTGGGGGCACACATGGGTGAATCACAGAATGGCTTGGGTTGCAAAGGAGCACAGTGCTCATCCAGTGCCAACCCCCTGCTGTGTGCAGGTCACCAACCAGCAGACCAGGCTGCCCAGAGCCACATCCAGCCTGGCCTTGAATGCCTGCAGGGATGGGGCATCCACAGCCTCCTTGGGCAACCTGTTCCAGTGCCTCACCACCCTCTGGCTGAAAAACTTCCTCCTCATATCCAACCTAAACCTCCCCTCTTGGTTTAAAACCATTCCCTCTTGTCCTATCACCATCCACCCCCATAAACAATCGTTAAAGCTGTTAACAGTCGTTAAAGCTGATGTTGGATGTTGAACGGGGTGAAGCTGATGTTGATTTGGCAGCTCTGCAACCACAGTGCTCAGGACTTCCTGACCCACTGCTAAGCACAGCTCTTCTTTTTGACTGCCTGGCATCTGGCTCACAAAGCCCAGCTCTGAGTGAGCCCAGCCCACTCTCCAGCAACTCGCTGGCCTGCAGCAGCATAACAGCATCAAGCTCTGCAATATGACTGACAGCTGAAGCACAAATGAACTCACTATCAAGGGACAAAAACTAACCTTCGGTATTTTGGTCTAGAAGGAGTGCTCAGAAAGGGATTTGGCCAGGGATTTTTTCAGCTGCTGTCTGCTAACGAACTCCAAGCAGCCTGCTCATTGGAGCTGCCTGTGGCCCAATGTGTGCACTGCTTCTCATGACAGGAGTAATGATAAACTCCATGTGATCATCTCATCCCTCCAAGCATGTTCCAGTGGAGGATAGAAAGGAAGGCCCAAAAAGCACAGCGTTCTGGGCAGCTGCAGAGGGGTCCTCCCTACAGTTCTCTATAAATCTCTGCAGGAAACAGGGACAGCACATTTGCTAATCTCTGAAAAGAGTGAAGATCTGTAGACAAAATGTCACCCGAGGGAAAAACTGGCACAGGTGAAGGAATGTAGCACTCTTAAGAGAAAGCCCACTCTCTATTCCATCCCCTGATCTGTTCCTGATACAGAAGAATAAAGGGAAACTTCACCAAAGACAAGCTAAGAGTTAACAGCACTTGCTATGATTCCTGCTGTTCCTCTCCTGCAATGGACAAGCTTGGCCCAGGATAAATAGATCCTTTCCCTGGTTATTTATCCTGCACCAAGACTATTCACCTCACCTGTCCCAAGAATTTCATGTCCCCTGCATACTTTGAAGAGAGCTGCTTCAGATGCTCAGAGCTCAGCTGGCACACAGCACCTATTTAAATACTCATGCAGAGGAAATGGGACCCACCAGTGAAGCAAGGGGCTTCAGTCACTGCAATGCTTTGGGCAGACAAAAGCAAAGACCTCACAACCCATAATTCAAGGATATAGCACTAAAATCCCATCTGGAAACAAGCAACAGTCTATCTTCAGCCAGGGAGAAAAGCATGGCATCTTATAAATAACTTCCCTGGGTTATAAACAATTGCATTTCCAAAGCCTCTGTCACTGAGGTAGGTTGAAGGGTAGATCAAAGGCACAGGGCAGACGTGGCCTCACAGATCTCTGCCCTTTGCTGTCGAGAAGAACGAATGGTCCTCATACTGCAAGCACTGCTTGGGCTGGTGGAGAGGCTGACCTCCTTTCATGTTCTTACAGGCCATAGAAGGAAGGTAAAGTCAAGACTGCACAGGGCATTGACACTAAAAGGAAAACAGCAGGCAGCACAAAAGTTTGCTAGCTGAAGAGGTCACACGAGAGGATGACAAAGTGGGGGCCCTGATGGGAGGTAAAGGGTGGCCAAAGCTGATCTCCAAGCACTACCAACTTCAGCCTGCACTGCCACACTCCAGGAGAGCGGCAAGAAAATGTTATCAGAAGAGGGTCAGACACTTAAAGCTGTTGAAAGGGTAGGTCTGAAAGTCAGCGTGGCACTGATGGGACACGGATGTGAGGCATAAAGAAACACTACTGGGAAAGCTTGCTGTGCCACTGCTCCCTGCCCCTCCACAGCTGCCTTTTTCTCACCCCACCAGGGCAGCACTAACCCTTAAAGACTCACCTTTTGTAAGGCAATCTCCTGGTGCAGCATAGACACTTGCAGCTTCAAGGCAAACAGATCCCTCAGTTCCTGGAGCCTGGAGTAGCACAGGAGAGGCACAGCCAGCGTGCCTGCACTGCCACACACCCGACCCCCAGCAGCATGGGCTGCACAGCAGTCTCCTTGGTCCCCAGTGCAGTCTGGGTGCAGCCTCCTTTGGGACTCCACAGCTGTCAGGGTGAAGAATTGGCAGTGACAAGCAAGTTAAGCCCGGATTCACAGAGCTTGCAAGTTATTAATTCAGTCATTCAGTCATTAATTTATAGGAACACGATGATGTCATTCCATTTGAGGCGCACTCCTCACACATGGCACAATCAGGACATCTTGACGTATGGCACACAGTGTCCCCTCCCCATTCTCTCAACAGCTCCATCACCAGTTGTGAATTGCAGCACCCTACCCACACAGGGCAAACTACTGCTCAGGCACACCTGACGACCAGCACCAGCTCACCTGCTCGTAGAAGCTGCAGCTTATGCAAGCATTGGGAGACTGTGCTTTGCAGACCTTCCAAGGTCAAAAGGCTTTCATACTCTCTTTGAAGGGTGGGATGGTCTGGAGGAGAAGCAGAGGAAAACCAGCAGGCATCAGTTTCTGGAGTGGCCATAGGTTAACAAGCCCTCATGTGGGGCAGAGGGGGTTCCTGTCCGTCTTGTCTGGCACACACCAAGAGCACCAGACACGTGGAACTGGAACCCACTGAAACCATCCCTACTCCACCCTCTGCCCTCCTCCCCACTCTTTTCTTTCTTACCTGCAGACTCAGCTTCCACATACAGGCTCAGACGGGAGGGGACATCCTGGAGGGCTTTTAATTCCTCCTCTATCTCCGCAGGGCTGAGCGCCGGTGTTGGTGAACGAAACTCAAACAAAAGCAGCTTAAGGAACATTTCACAGCAGCAGCCCAGCGCACACCTCAGCTGGAACCAGGGGCAGCAGCACAGAGCGAGCAGCCCATGGACCAGCACTGCAGGCAGAAGGTGAGGGCAGTGCAGATGTTTACCTCTCAGCCTTCTTTGCACAGATCACAACTTACACGAATACACAAAAGCTGTGCTACGAGGAAGAAAAAAATGCTTCCTTGAGAGCAGGCTTGAATCCCCGCTGTGGGAGGCACACCTCCTCCCAGTGGAAGCACTGATAGAGCTGGGAGGGCTGAGTGGAGGAAGGATACAGTGCTCTGGGTCCTCTCTGTGAAATGCATCCTTGCAGCTGCTGCATCGGCACTCGTGTGGCAGAGACGGCACTTCTCCCATGCCCTGAAAAGCCCAGGGAGGTCAGGAGGGGTTCAGGTGTGTTGCACTGCTCACACCACAAGCACGCATCAGTGCTTCCAATACAGGCACCTCCTCGCCTTTTTCTTTCCCTGCACATTTGCTCCTCCACTAAATGTATGCAAACCCAAGTTCCCATGGGAAGGCACACACAAGACAGGCTCTCACCATCGCTGTGATTTCTCTCCCTGGATGATCTTTAGCACGAAGGTTGGTTTCAACTTGTTACCGAGTGTAAAAGCAATAACTAAGAGCGTTAAGTTGTACCAGAGCTACCAGGATGCTGAAGGGCTCAATTTAGCAGGGAAAATTAAGGGAACCGATTATTTCCAACTTGTCAAAGGGCAGCTGACAGACTGCTGCCTGATAAATGACTGCTGCCCACAAAAGGAGCAATTCCTGAGGTTAATGCAAGGAGCCCTGGCTGCATTCATGGCTTAAGCTTAGGATCCGACAAATCCCATCATCAGGAGCCCCAGAGGAGGCAGTGAGAGATGTCCCTGGGGACTGGAGGATGGATGAGAGCATCACCAAAAACACAGCTGCCCAGTGGTTAACAACTTTGTTCAGGGCAGCTCATCAGCAGATCTGGCCTCATGCAAGCACAGCAGCAGTGCTTCCAGGACACCAACAACTTGGGAAAACAACAGCATGGGGCACTCGCTCTGAGCCCTCCGTGCTGCCCTGCTGCTTACCGGGAGTTCCTGGTGTGGGCTTTCCTGTAGGGAAGGGGCAGCTCCAGCTGGCATCTGCAAAACAGGTTGGCTGCCGTTGGAGGTCGGAAGAGCCCTGTCTTCCAACAGAGTAATCTGCTTTTTGTCTTAATTAGCTTAGCCGTAACGGAAGACATCAGAAGCCCCAGAAGTTAAACCCGGGTGTTCCTCTCTACAGCCATCACTGAGCAGAGCTGGGGGAGCTCTGACATCGTGCTGCCAAAAGCCCCAACACGAGGGGGTAAAGCCACAGCTCTGAGTTGCTGTGCTGCACAGCTGTGCACAGCCCTTCCCACTGCACTGCTGCACCTGAGCTCTGCGAGGTCACCTCGCCTGGAGAGGATGGGAAAGGCACACTGCAGCTCCCCCTGCGTGCACAGTGACGAGTCAGGATTTGTTCTGCTGTGGGGGAGAGATGAATACATGCAAAGTTCCTTTGCCATTTCTTTGTATGCAAAACCCTTTGCCAACTGAGCTGGCAGTTACAGCTGAGCTTTGTGCAAACTGCAGACAGTGCTGCAGCCAGGGTGAAAGGAAATAAATGTCCGAATCCACATTCCTGTTCCCCCAGCAACACTCACTCTGTGTCCTGCACCCACTCCAGCACATGTACTGCAATCCTTTCCCTGCACAGACACAGGGGAGCTGAGCCGGGGCTGCTGAGAGCAACGTCTCATTATTACCTAAGCGCAGGTCCAGATCTTAATGTCACCGTTTCTCTCAAGCACAGAGCACACAGAAATGAATGCAGAAGTTATCTGAAAAGACAGACTGGTCTGCCACAGTTCCAAGTGTTGTTTTCCTGCCCTTCCACAGGATGTGGCACTAACACCCACTCTGTAACATTCCTGCACCCTACACTCGTGCTAATCCTGATTCTACAGTTAAGCAGACAGCATTTTAGAGGTTAAAGGGCACAGCATGAGATCCCGAAAGCAGCACTGGGTATATGCTTTTGTGATAGAGAGAGATGATTCATGAATTATTTGTCATTATCTCTGTTTAAATAAATGAAAATAAAGAAAATCAATAAGCTGTCGTGGGAAGTGGACTCAGAGGAAAGCTCTACAGAGACAGCTTTCCAAAGCAGCCACAGCAGGGCTGAGAAGTAGCAGAAGCCATAATGAAAGGACTTCTGAAGTCCCAGCCATCCGAGAGCAGCTCTCAGCATGCAGACACTCATTCAGTAGCCAAAGGACACCAAAGGCCCCTTCCTCCAGCAAAGAAGGTGAAGGTCGGCAGAACCAAATCAGGTCATACAGAGCAGTGCAGCAGCTGTGTTTGGCCATGCTGAGCACAGCCAGCACTCACCCCTGCTCCTGCAGCACGGCTGCCCGCGGCGATGCGCTCCCTGCACCAGCTGTGTGCTCCTCTGCTCCTCTGTGTGTGTGCTCCTCTGCTCCTCTGTGTGTGTGCTCCTCTGCTCCGCCGGGCAGCCCGAGGGCATCACAGCATCTCTTCCTCCCATCACTGAGCTGCTGCTGCCCGCACACTGAGCTCCCTTCCCCAGCAGGGCTGCCATGCCGTTGGCTGGGGGCAACAGCCGGCCTGTGGGATGTGGCACGGATGGCCGGCCCACACCTGCCTCCTTGTTTGGGAGCCACAACTTTGGAAGAGCTCTTCCCAGCCGCTCCAGGAGCCCTGCTGACACGTCCTGCCGGGGCTTTCCTTTGGGTTCTTCTCACATCTGGGTCAGTCCTGTACGGGGCTCGCAGCTGGTACGCAGGAGGTTTCTTGGCAGCGGCGGGCTGCTGGCTTCCAGCTCTCGGCTCGCGGCCGGGGCAGGCAGCCGCAGGGCCGTCTCCGATGGCCGCAGGCTCCTTCAGCCGTCCCGGATCTCCACCGTCAGACTCCCCGCCCGCAGCCTTTGCTCCCGCAGCTCCCCGTGCCGCTGCGGTCGTTCTGGAGACGCTTTTTCTGACTCTCAGCGCTTTCTCCAGGGCGGCGTTCAGCAGCTCCAGCTCCTCCAGCTCCCGGGATGAAGGCGTGCTCTCTGCGCGAGGAGGAGACGGCCCGGCAGCCCCCAAACCCGGATCCCCCGTTATTCCTCCACGAGCCAACTCGCTCCCCCAGCTGTCCCGGCACGAACCTCCAGCCGGGCCGCATGACAGCGGTTCGGGACAGGGGCGCTCACCGCATCCACCGCCGGCTCCCGCCTCCGCTTTCGGCCGCTCATCTCCGCTCCGCTCCCTGCGGGACACACGCAGAGCGGCCCTGCGTTACCGCGGCCCGGCGTTACCGCACCCAACCGCCGGCACCCAACCGCCGGCACCGCACCCAACCGCCGCCCGCTCTCACCCCCGCAGCAGCAGATCCCGGCCGCGCTCCGCACTCCGCTCCAACTCCCTCCGCCGTTCCGCGCCGCCGCGCAGCGCCGCCTGCAGCGCCGCCTCCAACCTGCGGGGTCCGAGCGGGGAACGTCAGCCCGCCCCGCTCCGTTCCGCTCCGCAGCCCCCACCCCGCGTCCCGCTCACCGCCCGCCGCATCCCGCGGGCAGCATCCCGCGTCCCGCCGAGCGCCCGCGCTCCTTCCGGCACTGCCCGGCACAGCGGCGGCCGCTGGGGGCTCCGGGGGCGGTACCGATTGCGGCCCGCCCCGCTGCGCTGCCCGCCGGGATTGCGGCTGCGGGAGGGGAAGGAAACGCGCTTTAGTACGGGGGAACGTCTGCATGTATCGACCGTTGGACTTATCGATAGAAGCAAGCACCACACCGGGCAGAATTAGCGACAGAGTGGCGTCAAGGCATTGCACTTCATAGAATCACAAAATCGTGGAATGGTCTGGGTTGAAAAGGACCACGGTGCTCATCCAGTTCCAACCCCCGGCTATGGGAAGGGTCGCCAGCCGGCAGACCAGGCTGCCCAGAGCCGCATCCAGCCTGAAGTGGCTGATAGAGCAATCTTAGGGACAAAAGGGGTGATTTTAAAAGATAAAGGCTGTTGGAGGAGGTAAGAGAACTCCCCATCCAAAGGACCGACGGCGGACCGACGCTGCACGAGAAGAACGCCAGGTGACATCAAAGACTGCCAAATAAGGCTGCATCTGCTGGGCAGTCATTGGGGGTGGAAAGGATAATGACTTTGAGAGTGTAATGAATATGTAAAACATATGAAAATATGACCTGTTCTCAAACGATTAACCGAGGAAGAGTTTTTGAAGGGTTAACCCAATGCTACACCAGTGCTGCCTGTCAGAATACCTGCCAAGCTATAAAACACTTCTGCTGTGAGGTCTCTCCACATCCATTTCTTCAATTCAAGATGCAGGGTGTTACTGTGTTGGCTTCTGCCTTCAGCTCCGTCAGTCCCACAGTGTAGTGGTTGGAGCTGATGGTTTGTCTGGTTTTCCCATCGCTTTACTCACAGAGGGCTGCATCTGGAGCTTTGTCTTCAAATGTGGAGTTCACGTGTGGCCGCTCCATGCAGTGCTGTTGTGATGCTGGCTCACAGTGCTGACACCACATCTTGGTGTTGGTAACGATGTGATCCAGGAAAACTGTCAGCATCAGGCTTTATCAGTTCAGTAGCACTGACAGACTTCATCTTTCTGCTCCTGTATGAGCATTAGTGGGACACACCTGGCACAGACTTTGCAGTCTTCCAGCACTGTCACCATTGTTTCCAATGCATGTTCTGCTCACCCTGCTCACGATGCTCTCATTCTCACAGATGAGGCACTCCTCATTTTGTGGTGTGACAGCTGTGCAAGGCCATCCGGATCGTGCCTTGTCCTCCCCACTGCTGAAATGCACCACAAACTGCACCAGATGGGCTGCCCTTTCCCCTGATGAGGTTTGGCACCAGCCCTGGCTGCGGGGTGGACTTGGACCACCACTGAGGGTCCCTTCTCCTTCAGCACTACGCTGTGCTGCAAGCTGTGGGAGAACCCCCAGGTCTCATTAGGCATCTGCAGGCTGTTAGAATTGAAGCAATTACAACCATCCGTGAGGAGGATCAGACTGCTGTGCTGTAGGAAGACCTGATCTGATCTCAGCAGCTTCTGCATCGCATCTTCACATCTGGAAGCGCTGCAGCAGGCGGCCCCTGCGGCACCAAAGTGGTCCAGATGAACCCAGCCTGCAGCCACAGTGCTGCAAGGGCAGCTGGATGCTGCGTGCCTCCCAAGGTCAAGGAAGCCCTCAAGGTTGGTCTGCGCCTGCTGGGAAGAAGGACTGGGGTCCCTTTGTGTGTCAGCAGTGCCACAGAGCGTCCCGTCCCTTGCCTGGAGTCACTCAGGGCTGGGTGGCACCGCAGCCCCACAGTGCTGGGAGGTGGGAGGGTGGCAGTGTGGTGCTGGGTGAGCCGTGCAGTGTGCTGCAAGAGCTGGGCGAGGTGGTAATTAGCAGGTGGAGAGCGGGAGCTTTCTGACAGATGAAAGCTCTCTGCTGGCACCTGTAGCTGCAGACCTGCTGCCCTCAGAGCGTGTGCCCCTGTGCTGCTCTGTGCCTTTTGTGGAGCCCTGCGGCCAGCAGCTGCTGCACAAACGCACAGACCTCCCCTGCTGGGTGCTGCCTTTCCAGGGGCTCATCTGACACAATCCAAGGTATCTGTCTCTGACATTTTTTTTCACTGATAGCAGCTCCTGATAGAAGGGGTAATGAGCAAAAGGTGATGTTCTGTTCATATAGCAGTGTGTCGTGGCCCGGTGCTGACCTGACCTGTTGGCACAGCTGGCACACAGCACATTAATGCCTGGACTGAGCGATGGGGATTTTAACTAACGGAGCATAAGCTGGCATTCTACTCCATGTTATTGCTTGCTGGGGTAGTAGTGGGTCCTGTGACATAGCACGCATGCTGAATGGCATTGAAACTGGTGCTAAGTACCACTTTATTTAAGATTTATCTTTATCAAGATTCATTTACAAAAGACAAGTGGGTTTAAATACCTGTGTAATGGAGAAGTGGCAGTTGCTCATAGGCACAGCTCTGCCAGCTGTCATGAGGGCTGCTCTGAAAGTAATGCCTCCTATTTCATTACATTGGCCCACAGTGTCAGAGGCAGATGGTGTTGGGATGGCAGTAAGGCTGAACGTTCCCACCAACACTCTGTTACGTTTTGTTGCTATGTGGCAGACAGCAGCAATGGGGCACTTGACAGAATGATGTCTGACGTGAAGCAAAGGTATAGGATTGAATTCTTTCATGCAGATAACATGGCACCTATTACCATTCATCAGTGCTTGGGAATGCTGATGGAGGCCAAACAGTGGCTGTCAGCACAGCGAGGCGGTTGGTGGTGCATCTCAGCAGTGGTGACAGTGATGTGAAAGATATCAATGTTCCACAAGGCCATGAAGATCTGTATGAGTACAGCATGCAGATTCTTGGTTCATAGCTGATGAAAATGCACAGCTGTTGGCAGCGACTATGTTGAAAAATAGCGTCTGGTAGCTGAGAATTGCCTCTGTCAAATGGTGTCACTGTGCTCTCTTTATCAGCTGTACTTTCCATAAGTACATAAAATAAATAGGAGGCGTTACTTTTGGAGCAACCTATGTATTTTCAGGACCTGCAATGATGATGCATTTTGCATAGGTGAAATGTAGAGGTACGATGTCAGCATTCATTGCTTATGGTTGACAGGTGCCTGGTGATATCCTGTGATCTGTCTTCCCTCACTACTGACAGCCCGGCTGTCAGACGCCCAGCAGCTCATCAATAGAGCTGTCCAGAGCCTCGGATCTCCTGCTGAGTGCCTCAAGCTCTTTGAAAACCCAACCCAGAGCCCATCGTGGTCAGATTCCTTTGGGCAAAATTCAAGCAGGCATCACGCTTGGATGAACGGGGAGGGGGGAAGTAGCAGACAGAAGTAGAGCAGACTCCCTCAAAGCAAACTGAGTCTTCACCCAGTGCTGGAAAGCTTTAATCCTGATAGACAGAATGATGGTGCAATTTGTCACCATTAAACCTACCCAGTCCTTATTGTGTGACACCAGCTGTGCTCCTCCTGTGTGCTGCCCATAGAGATCACAGCTGTCTGTTGAGCTGACACAGGAAAATACTCCCTGTGTGTAGGAGGGTAATGTCCTATATAAACATATCAGCCCATGGGAGATGCCTTAAGGACTGAGGTAACCCAGAGGCACTCTTCTCTGAGTTCCAAACCATTCTTGTTTGTTTAGGGAAGGTGAAATCCTCGCAGCAATTCCAGCATAAGCCTGTGGATGTTGCTGTGTGGCTGCAGAAATGCACAGCCATCCAGAGATCCTATTCAGCCCTCGTCATCTCTTTGGAGCAAATACTCCAGGAAATTGATTGCCAGACCCTGCACTTTGCTGCAGCCAAAATCCATGCGGAATTCTCCCAACTATCAGCAAGATGTGGTGAGAAGGGGATGCAAAATGTCCTGGAAAGCACCGTCTGCAGCTGGAAGGGGAGGATGGCTGCATGCAGTGGGCTCACGGCTCTCTCTGCTGTGCATTCCTGTGCAGTTTGGCTCTGGCTCTCAGAAGAGCTGCTTGGCCCTGTGGCTGGAAGGAAGCGAGGCACGGCCTTGTGTTGTGCTGCTGACAGCTTTTGTGGTGCGCTCAGCATCGTTCCTCTGTCTGGATAGGGACATTAGTGCCAGCAGTCCCATCAAACCAGGCAGGTAACAGCTGTGCCTGTTGGGAAGCAGAGGATCGATCCCCTGCCTGGGGAGCAGACGTGGTAAGGACAATCATTTTAGCATGTATTCAAAATCCTGGAGCCAAGCTGAGCTCTTGGCTCACACCGAGCAACCACAGCATCCCTCACAGCTGTTGGAACCTGAAGGGTTCTGGTCCCGTTGTGCACAGAGGGACCTGCACACTAAGGGGTCTGTGGGGCTGTTTTACCCTTAAGGCTCCTTGCTTGCGGATTTACAGCCTGGGAAAGTGCAGCCTTTTGGTCCTCCTGCATGGGGGAATATGGGGCTGCTGTGGGGCACCAGCCCATGGGCCTGGGCTTCTGACACTGAGATGGTAGTGAGCTGCATGGGTCTGAGCTCTGTAGGGGATGGAGGGCAGCAAGGGCCACGGGAAATCTTCTCTTGTTTCTCTCAGACCTGCTGGTAAAGCGTAAAACAAATTTATGTTCTCATCTACTGCTGTAGCACTGGTGGTAAAGGCTAAAACCTTGCTGCCTCTCTGCTTATTAGAAGAAGTTCAAACATGGGCCGTGTGTACCTTGGGGGTGAGGCTTGCGAGGCAAACACATTTGTTCCCAAATGTCTTCCTTCCAGTTAGAGGAACACCAAACCTTTCCCTTCGGTGAGGTCTGTCTTTTCCCACCTGGAGGTATTTCTGCTGGGATGTGAGTGATGTTCTGCTGTTGTGTTGTGCAGTGCGATGGGGGAACCACAGCTGGGCTCAGCCTAAATGGGCTGCCCTGAATGGGGGTACAGTGGGGCACCCGTACAGCAGCACTAACAGAGGCCAACCCGTCAGTGTTTGTGCTGTTCTAGCAGCAAATCCAAGCCAACGAAGCCAGGGTGCTATAAAATGCTTTTCCTAACTGCTCTTTTATTGTTCTCCCTCTTTAGCTAATCTGGACTTAGAGGAGAAGGGAAATGTTGGTTCTGAGCACTGCCCCTGTCTCTTCTGCACTGTATTGACTGACACTAGAAGGGGCTGCAGTAATATATGTAGGTTTTAATGAGGCATTTGACATTGTTTCACAAACTCTTCTGTGCAAAGCTGATGAAGACAGGCTATACGTGAAAGCTAATGACAGAGAGGATCGTCTCAGGTGGGGGAAGGCATCTTCAGTTTCTCCAAACATTACTGTCAGATTCAGATCTGATTAATCAGATCAGATTAACATCATCTTTGCTGCCAGTCTCAGACAGGAGCGTTCAGCTGCAGGCCATCAGCTGCATAGGTGAGAGCGTCTGATGAGCTGCATCCTGCTCCCTGTGGGCAGCAATCACGCTCAGATCCGAGCTCATTGATTTGCTTTATTCAGTCTCATCTTCCTCATCTGGAATTCAGAAATTACCACCAGTGGAGACAGGAAATCTCCTTTTCATTACTCCCAAACTTGATTTAGTACACAGGACAGAACTTTTCAGCTAGGGAGATGTCCGAGTTCAGCTGCCCGTGTTTCATCCCTGGTGCATTCAGCTGAGACTCTCTTTCCCATCAGTCGATTTTGAACTGCCCCAGACACACAGACACACACACATCATCCTAGGAGAGATGTCTGCTCGTTTCTCACACTCGGGTTCTCACTCCATCTGCCAGAATGCATCCTTGCATTCACTGACAGCTCCTCGCCCTTGTTGGCAAGGCCAGGGTTGTCAGGCAGCTCCAGCTCTCACATTCACCCTCAGAAGCTCCATCTGCTCTTTCTGAATGGCAAAAGAATGTACATTATTTTCTGAAGGATCTCTGGAAAAAAATACCACTGGGGAGGCCTTGGGTCATCCTGGGAGGGCCAACGCTTCCATCTCATGTCATCCTCCTCAAGCAGCCATTCTCCACCTCCCAACCATTGTCACACTCCTTTCACATCCCCGCATGCCCTGAGACACACAGACTCCAATCACCAGTGGAAGCAGTTCTTAATGGGAGGTCATATCAGCCTGCGGGTGAAGTTGCTTCAATTTCCCTTTGTACTTGGAAGCCAGCACTGATTAAGAGCCGCCAGAGGTGC